TAAAGACGTTATCTTGAACATGTTTATATCACCAGCCATTTCTATATATAAACTACATTTAATTAAACCATCGTCTGTGATGCAAATTTTGCAATTCGCAGTTCAGAAGAGAGAGAGAGAGAGAGAGAGGATCTCTCACGCAAAGCCACAGCACGCGCAACACGACAGCCCTGCTTAATGAGTGACAATAGGACAGAACTAAACATTCAGCGTAGTTACACTTTAGATGTGGATATTATTGTAATATATTTTTGTATTTCGGCTTCCAAAGATTATAAAAAGAAGATATTTGAGATAAAACCGTTAAAAACAAGACGCATGATCTGTCCAGCTTAACTTCCTTTACTTCACAGCACTGCGGAGCGCTGTACCCAAACGTACCGTCAGAATCAGCACGATCGGCGATTGTTGTACAATGCTGTCTTCTACTGTTGCAAGATCAAATAATGGCTATTAAAAACACAAAAGCCTGCGCAAGAGCCTGTTCACAAGGCGGTGCGTGCTCCGAAACGGACTGCAACGAGACAAGAAAAGTAGCCTATACTTTGGGCTTCGTGTGTCCTCCTTAACTATCAAATATACATAAAAATGTCAAAATGACCAGCTCTGAGATTCGCTTAAACACAGTTTATTCACTTAAACACAATTATGTCTTAAATGGACGTAAATAATAGGGAGAAATTGATGGTGCTTCAGTTACCGATTAGATTTGCTCTCGGTCTTAAAGGGGCAGCAGTCTAATAGCCTAAACCTGCTGACGATTCAGCCATTAATGCAAATCAAACAACAAAAGGCAGAAAAAAATCACTCACAGCTTTTGAATAAGTAACTTTAGATTTAATAAGCATTAATCTATCTATGATAAACTATACAGTGCTATTTTATATTTGATTACTAAATTAGGTTTCTTTTCAGACAGAAACAATTATCTGAAAAGATATCTTAGTACACCTTCCTGAAATTAAAGCACTTTTGTATATAATTTGTATCTTTGATTGATTTTATTCTTGGTTTTTACTTGTTTTTTTTTCTTATGTGTCCTTTTGTATATAAAACAAAAAAGCCTGCACATTGCTGCATAACAAAAATATATTTTCTTCGTTTTGCTTTTTCTATTTTACATTTCAAAATATAGAGTTTAATTATGTTCTTAATTCTTTAAAAAAAAAAAAAAACACCAAAAAGAACCGATAAGAATACCGTTAAAGTACCGGATCGATAAGCGGTATCGGTAAGAGTAGTAATACCGATAAAACCTTAACGATACCCATCCCTAGGTGTGTGTGTGTGTGTGTGTGATCATACCTGAGGTGGGGTGTGTGTGTGTGTGTGTGTGTGTGTGTGTGTGTGTGTGATCATACCTGAGGCGGTGTGTGTGAGGAGACTCTGGCCAGCGCTGGACATCGGTGTGAGTGCGCGCGGGACTGGATCGCTCTGCTGCGCCGCTGTTACCGTGGAGACCCCGCAGCGAGTGTCGTCAGGCGAGCCGGAGTGCAGCGGGTTGGTGAAGCTCAGCGCGGCTCTGGCGGGAACAGCAGGACTGGGCGACCGCTGGGCTCTGGCGGGACTGGACCGGGCCGAATCCCTCAGCGGCAGGTGATTGGGCCGCGGCGGGTCGCTCTCCTCGCACTGGGAGCCGCTGGTGTCGGACCGCTTGAAGGCGTGCGAGCGCTGAAGAACGCTGTTCCCCTCGAAGCTGATGGGGCCCTCCTGCAGCGGGACTTTCTTGATCTCGATGCTCAGCTTGCGCTCGGGGCGCCGGTCCTCGGGGGGCGACGCCGGCCTGCTGCTGTAGTTCTCGTTGAGGTCGGGCTTCTGCTCCAGCACGTGCAGGATGGGTTTGGGGTGGTAGCGGTCGTTGTCCTGCCGCGCGTGTGTGACCGTGGGGAAGGCGGAGGGCGGCGACGGCGTGAGGATGGGCGGCACCGGGAGCGGCTCCGGCGGCTGCAGAATCTCCTCCTTCACGTCGCCCTCCGGATTACTGAGAGGAAAACATCAGCTTTATCTCGGATCACATGGGCTACGGCCCAGACGTTCGCCAAATATTTCAAATGAATCAAAAACAAAAACAGTTTCAGACGGTCTGAAGTCCACGGCTCGACTCTCACCTGCGGATCCGGGGCGGTTTGGGAGGCGGCGAATCCCATCGTTCCTCGTCTGAATTCTGACCAGGTTTTTCGGGGCTGCCCTCTTCCTGTGGTCAGAGAGAGAGTGTGTGTGACTGTGTGTGTGTGTGTGTGTTTGGGGGGTGGTTATGGTCACTTGCGCACACGCAGGAAAAACAAATAAAGGAGAAAAAAACTCGTTCCTCTGCACAGTACACATGCAGTTTTAACTGGGTCATTGAATACGTTCGGGCCGTATAGACCGCTTTAGCGTCACAGTTACGAGTGAGTGAGTGAGCGAGTGAGTCAGTGAGCGAGTGAGCGAGAGAGAGTGAGTGAGTGAGCGAGTGAATGAGAGCGAGTGAGCGAGAGAGAGTGAGCGAGTGAGAGTGAGCGAGAGTGAGTGAGCGAGCGAGTGAGAGTGAGCGAGTGAGTGAGAGAGAGTGAGCGAGTGAGAGTGAGCGAGAGTGAGTGAGTGAGTGTGAGTGAGCGAGTGAGAGTGAGCGAGCGAGTGAGAGTGAGCGAGAGTGAGCGAGTGAGAGTGAGCGAGCGAGTGAGTGAGCGAGTGAGAGTGAGCGAGTGAATGAGAGCGAGTGAGTGAGAGTGAGCGAGTGAGAGTGAGCGAGCGAGTGAGTGAGCGAGTGAGAGTGAGCGAGTGAATGAGAGCGAGTGAGCGAGAGTGAGCGAGTGAGAGTGAGCGAGCGAGTGAGTGAGCGAGTGAGAGTGAGCGAGTGAATGAGAGCGAGTGAGTGAGTGAGCGAGCGAGTGAGTGAGTGAGTGAGCGAGTGAGAGTGAGCGAGTGAATGAGAGCGAGTGAGTGAGCGAGTGAGAGTGAGCGAGCGAGTGAGAGTGAGCGAGTGAGAGTGAGCGAGCGAGTGAGAGTGAGCGAGTGAGAGTGAGCGAGTGAGAGTGAGCGAGCGAGTGAGAGTGAGCGAGTGAGCGAGTGAATGAGAGCGAGTGAGAGTGAGCGAGTGAGAGTGAGCGAGCGAGTGAGAGTGAGCGAGTGAGCGAGTGAATGAGAGCGAGTGAGTGAGCGAGTGAGAGTGAGCGAGTGAATGAGAGCGAGTGAGTGAGCGAGTGAGAGTGAGCGAGTGAATGAGAGCGAGTGAGTGAGCGAGTGAGAGTGAGCGAGTGAGAGTGAGCGAGCGAGTGAGAGTGAGCGAGTGAGCGAGTGAATGAGAGCGAGTGAGTGAGTGAGTGAGCGAGTGAGAGTGAGCGAGTGTCTCACCATCCCATCTGTGATCTCAGAGTTAGTCGGACTCTCCAGAAGCATCAGCTGTTTCTCAAAGAGTTGTGCAATGGCTCGATGAACCAGCTCATACTGCTCCTGTCATACAGAGGGAGGTCAGAGGTCAGAGGTGTAAACGCCAAGTCTTTATTAAACACACTGAACCTGTGTTTATTTACTTTGGTCTGAACTGCAGAATGCCGCTGCGTCCTCATCTCCTGGATCAGCTGGAACACGTTAAAATCTTCAGGAATTTTCTGCAAAAAACCGTGATGTCATCACTTCCACAGCGAGTGTCTCTGTGTGTGTGTGTGTGTGTGTGTGTGCATTACCCCAGCTTTCAGCAGGTTCCAGGTGTAGTCGATGGCACAGATGGCTCCTGTTCGCCCACAGCCGGCGCTGTCAACACACACACACACACACACACACACTTCAAACTAGTACACACATTATACAGATCAGAAGGCCATCGCTTGCTCTTCTCACCCATCCGCATCTGTTCATCATCATCATCATCTTTTCATATTCATCTTTTTTTATTCAATGAGTTTATGTATGATGTAATCATAAGTAAATGATGTATATAAACATTTGAAGGCTACGAGCTGTTTAAAAGTAAACATTTATAAAAAAAGATAGAGAAATAAGCAAATCTAATTATTATTATTACTATTATTAATAATAATAATGTTAGTATTATTATTACATTGAGACATTAATGTTAAATCTCCTGTAGCCTAATATATTTCTGTTCAAGTTAAACCGAACTTTTGTTTTGACGGGTTGCCGTAAAGACCTTTGAGTTTCTGTGTTTATGATGATGAGGATCGTGTTTATTCTCAAATGAAAAGGTAAACACTGGTGAAGTGACTCTGGAGATGAAGTTTATGCATGTCATTCAGTGAGGCGGAAACCCCGCGAGCGTCACTCGTGCTTCAGTGTGTGTGTGTGTGTGCGGTAAATGAGTCATTAATTCACAGACACACGCAGAACATCCAGGAGGATTCATATTTAATATTCATATTCTTTTTGTGGTTATTTAGTCTGGAGCCTGTGCTTAGGCTAACACAGACGCGACTGAAAGCGCAGCGTCTATTAGTAGGTACCGAATTTACCCAGACCCCCCTACTGTCCCACAAACATCGTCACATTTTCCAAAATTTCAGTACTTTTGCCAACACTAGTGCGCATCATCATTAGTGTCAATAATCTTGAATCAGAATCAGTTCCTCTTCAGCATCTCTTCTCTGATGATGTGGGCGGGGCTATAACCTGTCACTCACATGAGATCAGCCAATAGCAAACCACAACCATCCAATCAGTTCCCCACAGACACAGACAAGCCCCGCCCACACTTGCTCTCGTTCCTGATTCGCTTCTCTCGATATACGACACAAAAGAGAAGAGACCAGCGCAACTGGTCCTGCCGTCTTTAACCGAACCCTCATTAATCTGATTATTACCCATCAGAACGAAGCCAGAGAGAGTCAGCCCTACTGTTCATCATAAGAGCGTGTGTGTGTGTGTGTGTGTGTGTCTGAGGAACGTCCACATCGGCTCGCAATCGTTACCAGAGGACATCAAGACGGCTTAAGGTTCAGTAGAAATATATTAGAGGTCTTTCTGAACACGATACCTGCAGTGGACACAGATGGGAACGTCATCGT